TTGCAAAATAAAAATAATACACAATAAAAATGAATCAAATCACATTGTTTTGTAAATGTATTACCAAGTCAATGATTTTTTTCCAAAATATTTCTCTCGTAGTAATTTAATAACACACAAATGCATGCATAAACGCTCTCCTTAGTTCGTACAGTAATAATCCAATCTTGTTTTATTTATTTAAATTAATTTATATAAATGTTTAGCGGTTTTTTATTTGGTTGATTCACTTGTAAATATATTTCACTGGATCCCAATTTTTGTTTAAATTAATTTTTTTAGTTTTGATTGGCAAAAAGCGAACAATTCCATATAATTAGATGTAAAATTATTTGCATGATTTTTTCGAAAAAAAAATCAGTCTTAATACTCTAAAACATCGGTATTCATTTCTGACGTACATGATGACATTTCAATACGTGGTTGAATTACATTAAAGAAGTATGTTTCGCATTTTCTTTGAAATTGCTCTTAAAGAACAACTTGAAAGCGCACATTGTGGTACTAGACTGTATAATCAGTACCATAACAATTGATTTATCGTCATGTTAGAAGTTTTATCGAGATTGTCCAATTTGAAGTAAACTTCACATCGAAAAATAACTTCTACATAATCATTGAAAACTAATAGTCACTACTCAGATATTTCGTTTTTGTTCTTTATCCGGGGACTCTGTGTCATCTTCGTCTGGTCTTGCTGGCGTTGGTGTCGCACTAAGCGCTAGAGCTGAGGCAGCACTAATCGACTTGATCCACATTAACAGTTGGTTATGTGCTGTTAGATTAGAGAGTTCCATCAAAGTGAGAAGAAATCGGCGTGAGAAACGATGTCTTTTCGTCATCTCCGCCTATGCCCCGACAGATTACAGCCTGGATGCGATCAAGGATGAATTCCACCACCAGTTAACTGTTCTTCTCCAGAAAGTGCGTTCGACAGATATTGTAGTACTAGCCAGAGACTTGAATGCTCAGGTCGGGCATCTAGGCACAGAAGAAAGTTGTTTAGGTGGCCTATAGGGGACCGTCTACTGCAACTGTGCACAGACCACAATCTGTTTCTGGCTAGCACTAACTTCCGGCAGTCATCGCCGATGTGCCACCTGGCGTCTGCCCTCTGCATCTCAAGCCTGGACTCAGATTGATCACATCGCGATCAGCTTCCGCTGGCGTGGTTGTGTAAAAGACTGCCGCTCCTTTTGGAGTACCTATCTGGACTCTTATCATGCCCTGGTCTGCGCCAATCTTAACTTCCTTTTCAGTGGCCAACAAAGTGACCGTCACCAACAGATTGATGTTAGCAAGTTGGTTGCGACATCTGTTGCAAGTAAGTATCGAACCGAGATAGCTTCTAGGCTAGCTACCATTCCAGCGAAAAGTATAGATGAGCATTGGTTGCAATTGCTTGACGCCATGAAAATGGCGGGAACAGTCAGTTGTGGGTTTGCGAAACGTCCCGCTTTTAAGCACTGGGTTTCTTCAGGCTCCTTACAACTCATTGAAGCCCATCGGTCTACTCCAGGTGACCGTGAGTTTGACCACAAACAAAGAATGTTACGTAGTGAAATTGGGCAAAGTTTGCGTAAGGACCGAGAAGCCTGGTGGACGGAGCGTGCTAATGATCTGGAAGCAGCAGTTGCATCTAGTAACTACCGGAAGCTCTTCCAACTCATCCGAGCCACTGGCAGCAAGAAGTCTGGTGTGAGTGAAACAATCTGCGAGGATGACGGGATGCCAATCACTAACATCCATCGACGTCTTGGACGATGGGCAGAATTCTTCGAAGGGCAGTTCAACTGGCCTGCTGCTCCGGCAACATCGGTCGGACTGTTCCTGTAACAACTATCGGGGAATAAGTCTACTTCCGATTGCGTCCAAGCTATTGGCTTCCGTCATACTTCGTAGGTTGTTCAAAACCCGAGAAAGATTGACTCGCGAGGAGCAGGCTGGTTTTCGTTCTGATCGAGGATGTACTGATCCTATCTTCACCCTCCGCCAAATGTTAGAACATTGTCATACTTATCAAAGGCCAACAATCGTAGTGTTTCTTGACATTAGGGCTGCCTTTGATTCGTTTGACAGGACTGTTCTCTGGGATTGTCTATTGAAGAAGGGTGTGCTTGAGAAGTTTATTAACAACCTAAAGGCCCTACATACAAACACCTCAGGTAGAGTCAGGGCATACAACCACCTTTCTCCATTGTTCCATTCGAGCAGTGAGGCTAGACAGGGTTGCCCAATCTCATGTGTGTATCTAAGTAGCTGCATAAGTGCTGGTGGTGGCGTGAGTGATGAGATCAATTCACGTATTATGAAAGCCAGAGCGGCTTATGCCAGTCTGGGCCATCTTTGGAGCCTTCGCGACGTCATTCTGGATGTAAAAGGGATCTACAGCGCGTCGGTGAGAGCAGTTCTGCTCTATGTTCGTGAAACCTGACTTCTCCATTTTAAGGATGTTAGCCGACTCTCTGTGTTTGATCATCGTTGTCCTCGAAGGATTGCTGACATCCAGTGGCAACACTATGTTAGTGATGCAAAGGTTCGGCATCGTGTGTTCGAACACAGAGATGATAATCCAGTTGGTGTCACCATCTTGAAACATCGACTTCGGTGGCTCGGACATGTTCTACAAATGTCGTCCCAGAGAATTCCACGTCGTGCATTATTTGCCGACGCTGGGACTGGTTGAAAAAAGAGGGGTGGCAGTCAGTGTATGACATGGTGTCGTGGTATGAAAGAAAGCTGCAAAGGGCTGGCTTCTATCGGTCCTTCACGACTCCTTGGCTGAGGTCCTAGAGATGGTGCAACACTGTGGCTAGAGACGTTATCGGATATGGCTCAGAATAGAGGCCAGTGGTAATCCTGCTGTAACCTTCTTTTACTCTCTTCATAAAAAATAATTGTTCCTTCCTTAACTGAAAGAATTCTTCTGATTGTACCGGTTGTACCTTTCCATTTCCTCCATTATTACTATTATTATTATTGCACTACCTTACACTAATCTGGTCGTTATTGTTCTTTTTTTACACTCATTACCTTTTTTCTACCCATTTCCATTGTTTAGTGAGGCGCATATATATTTGGTGTCCTCTTGTACCAATATATATGTATAATACGCCTCAACAAGCCCAATCAAGGTTAAATTAAAGATCTAAAAGTCACGTGGTTAGCGAGTAGTAGTTTAACAGTTTACGTTTCTTACCTTAGCCAGTTTGCAATATTCTCAGTCGTCATTCAGTTGTATCCGTCTCACTTTTTGCTGTTGAGTACTCAGGAACTAAGATAAAACATGTTTAGAGTTTGTTGTCAACCCGAAATGTATCCGTCATGTGGGCTATCTTCAGAATATCTTTTTGTTAATGAGGCTATAATCATATTAAAGCAACTTTACACCAACAACTACTGTTTCTAACAAAAATTGCAAATTATATAGTTTTAATCATTTTAGTTTTTTTCGTCCCCTAACGTATACAATTTTATATACACTATCATTATTTAGTACGGATAATCGTCTAGTTGCATAATAATGAAAAGTACGCTACTTGATATGAATGCTGTTACAAACTCTTATTACCATTTTAATAGACATTGTAAACACCCTCCCCCTCGGTACCGTAATTAAACTTACATCAACTATACATAAGTGTCTTTGTTTATGTAGCCAAAATTTACCACTAAAATGTATCGACTAATCAGTAACAGGTTATTTACAATTATTTTTTAAAAGTATTCTCACTGCATGTATAGTGGCTTACAGCTTGAAAAGAAAATAATTAGCTATTTAGTAGAAATAAAGAAATACACATTTTATATTGTTACTTTTAGTTAAATCGTGTCAGCAATCTTGCGAAAGGTAAATGCAAACTGATAATGATTTTACTCTATAGATTTATTGTAAAGAATATTTCTGAAGTATTCCTTAATGATCTATGATCCAATGACTGTGTGCTGTACTGCATTTACTCAAACTATTCGGAAGATTGTAATGTCTCTTATGTATGAACTGTAGTTCACTTATATTTTAGAATTATTGATCAATGAAAAATTAGAGTTTTAACTCTGCTTAGCGCTTATCGCGATATAAATGTTACTATAAAGCATTGTTACCACCATCTTTGATGAGTCATAATTTATAAGGCATAATCTCTTGTTTCAACCAGTTAGTCAGTCATTATCAATTTAGAGTTTGGGTCAAATGTGCATTGGTTCCGGTTACCATACCATTTTAGCACGACAAGGTGAAATGAACAAGTTAAATACCAAAAGTAATCGAAATATGCTTAAAAAAAGTATGTGTGAAGAAATAATGAAATCCAAGGTGGATAGGTAGATAAAGAGTAAATCCATCAGCAAATTATTCCGTCGTTTACTTCATGTGTATTTGCAGTCCATATTTCAACTACGATATGGATTTTTTTACAGTACCGTAAAGCATAAACATAGACAAGGTAAGAATTAGTGTGATATTTATTATATAATAGTGGTCAAAATTGTTTTTGGCTACCAGAATCAAATTTGATTAGGCCAATACCTTAAGAGTCAAATAGAAAACCGGTAAAATTACAAAATAACAATGACCGATTATTCTTATACAGTTATTTAGATCAAACAAACATTTACATTTCGAAGTGTAGTTAAAAATCATTTATGAAATAGTAATTTTTAAGCATAATCTAGTTGTGTACGCACTAAACTTCTTTTCATGTGCCTACTGATCATGTTTCTTTCCAATATTCAATTATTAAACCAAGTATATTTCAAATTCTAAACAGCTTTTGTTTATTAACGAAAATTAAATGAACCTATAAATTAGCTTTTATATAATGTAATGACACAGTAGTTTGATTGCACTTTTTTACACACAAAATGTTACATTGATATTCCTCCTACTTTTTTCCTTTATTTCTCTCTGTTACTGAATAACTGATTATGTGTTAATTGTAAATATCTAAGTAATTTTTTATTATTTATTTATCTGAATTCTTTTCTTTTTCTCAATTTAGCTTCACCAAATGGTCTGGATTACTTATTCCAATTGGCGTTGTAGTAGTAGCGATCGTTGTGTATAAATGTTTCTTATAAGTAAATTGTTATCCTTCTGTGTTTTTATCTACCTGTATGGCTTTCCTCTGTGTTTCTGTTTACTCACTGTGATTTTGCTGTAGATCTTTTCTTCTGTTTAATATTGGTCCGTGTATTTTCTTGTTGGATTTTTTCCTCTGGTTGAATATTTGTTAATATGTTTGTCATAATAAATGAAGAGGCAATTAACACTTTTTTTTACATATCTGATAACTTCTCTTTTGTTTTAGTTTATGTGTATGCATTGTGTACGAGTACATGTGTGTGTGACTGGCTGTTTGTTTTAGAGTACTTATGAACGACAAACTCGAAACTGTCTTAGTGCAAAGTTTGTAGTTATTCGTAATATTGATTTGCATATAGGATTCTAAGGATTCGTGCGAACCTTTGACGTCTTGTGTTCAACAGTAATTTACTTTAGTCTACGTTCTAACATTCACGACAGAAGCGTGTCTAAATGTGAAAATGCAATGAATATTGATTTTATTTGATCTTCTATACATATATAGAGACAAGTACAAACCTAAAACTAATTATTAGTGCATTTTATATGTCTATTTCTGCATTAAACCACGGAGCAAAAAAAATTCAAATTTGGTAACCTCTTTATAGTCATGCGTTTGAAGATTAGGTGGTTTTTAGAAACTAAAGATCATAGATGGCTTGAAGTAATCTCCGGGAAACTCTAGACCTAAGTTTTATGCTAGTTAGAACTTGTTAGGGACGAGTATGCTCACCATTATGGGAACTGATTCTCCCTATCACTCAGCTCTACAGCGTATAACGTTACTACCGAGTTATTCAGACCGAGATGTTTGTCAGCCGTAATATATATGTATATATATGATAAGTAATGTGCTCAGTTACGTTTTGATGATTTTGGCTTTTTGATCTAGGAGTTAATTCTGTTTTACTTTTGAGTTTGTCGTAATGCGATTCGGCAGATAAAACCATAACTAATCGCTTTAGAAATAAATATCACCAGAAAGTTATTTAGACAGTAGTGGGGTCAACTTTTGCCCTAGTTGTTTTTACCTCTGAGTAACATCAAAGTTTAGATTCTTATCATTATCGTGGATTTTCCCTATAATCCTAAGGGACTTGATATAGTCAGCGAATCATTTAGAGAAGGGCCATACAAAATAGTTTACAATGATTTAAGTAACTAAAGTAAGATCATGCACTAGTAATAAAGACATTGAAAAGTTTAGTTTAAACATTAACACAACTTAAGTAGATTTCATTTTTTTAGAAGTACGCTTCTCTTTTCATGCAAATAGACTAGAACTATAAGACGATCGCCAATGATTTAAACTGAGTCATATCTGATAACCTTTACACTCATTGATTTGCGCTATTTCTGGGACCTTATTAAAGGGGTCGATATGAGTCGACAAATGCTATTACATCACAACTATCCTTTATGTCACGATATCGTTTATAAACTTTCCTTTCTGTTATTCTCTACACATTCTCAGAGTTAGCCGCAAAGTAGGTATACTACATTCAGAAAACAAATAAGAATAATTTTATCGAAAACACGATTTCTACATACGTGATTCGATGTACACACCATAAATCTTATCATTACTAGCTTACAAGACTTTTAGCTTAAATGTTTTATACATAGATTTACCAAATTCTTCTCAATTCAGGTCTGACAGCAAATATTCTGAAGATATGAAACTAACTGAACTTTTATACCATGGAAAGCGTTTACGTCATGATAAACTCCAGTTCATGACTAATCGTTATTGGAATAAAAAAGGTTCATATTTGAAGGTTTCCCGTTTACGTTTTCCCGAAGAAGTTGCGAATAGTCCAAATAATCCTTTAATAAAAGCAGAAAATATGTTTAAATCAACCAGATATGATGATGCACTTTTGAACGAAATTGAAATAGGAATTACTGCAGATGAAGCTAAACATTTTGAGCAACAGAAATCCGAGAGACTTCAGTGTTTTCATCCTCTCTTCGGAGATGTCCGCTTTCACCAAGATTGTGAACCATCACTAATATTTTCCAGTAAACGACGTTTCTCAAAGGGTGTGGATCAAGCTAGTCTTCTAACAAATGTAAGTTTTAGTTACTTAGTAAAGTACATTATAAATTAATTTTTTTCTAAAATATTCATTGTTTATTGATTGTTTTGAAGTTGAACAATCATTTCAGCTGTGAAAATCAGTGGAATGCGTGCACAATTTACAACCCCAGCGTATAAATCGCGAGAACTTCAAAATTTCGACTTGAAATCGGTTCATGGTGGCATCAATATTCTCATTAACACAGTATTTCTTACCATCACTGGTTTACTTTATTGGCTCGACTATGACCCATCGTTAAACCCCAGTGATGCTTTTGTCAAATACTAATTGTCAATGGATATTAAGTCTAATACCACTTTGGTTCCATCTGCAGGGGAGACATTGTAGCATCGAAGTTTTTGCAGTTCGCTATAAATTCGGTCCTGGTTTCGAACCTTCAAGGTCCATCGAGTCACACCCATACAACACATCAGCCAGAGAAGAAACAAAAGCCACCATCCATAAGCCGGAGTTATGGATCATGGGATTTTGCCAAATCTTATTTACACAAAAAATGTCGAGGCAGTAAATTTAGCTACAAAGATAAATTCCAAAGCCGCAACATATACCGAAAAAATTCGAGAAATGAACCCATCCATAAAAGAAGCCAGTGGGGACATCAATGTGTACATCGGCAGATACTGCCCGCTCGCGAAACCAGTAGGTCCTGGGTTCGAATCCCGCGGGATGCGGGATCATGGATGCGCACTACTGAGGAGTCCCATACTAGGACGAAACGGCCGTCCAGTGCTTCCAGGTTTTTCATGGTGGTCTAGCTTCAATTGACTCATGATTTCAACTTGTGAAATTTCTAAAAATCTCCACAAAACCCATTCTGATAATTTTAGGATTGTAGTCCGATATTGTTACTTGAGGGACGTTGTTGCTGATGTAATTTCAATGTCGATGCGGAGACCTCGTTCATATGCAAGGTCTCCACGTGCCTTCTAAAAGTAGGTTGTACCATGAAACAGTCAGCTATATTGTTTACGTTCTGTAGATTTCGGGTGTGCTGTTACAGATCTTTTCGATTGATTCTTACACCTAGTGAAATGTTCGCAAATTCCTAGACACGAATAGTACTTCAACCCCACAGTATTGTGAGTTGGTTGATCACATAATACTCAAAGTCGTTCAGTACTGATTGGAGTAAATTTATGTAGTGAAAAAGCTGTAGGTGCTCGGAACTTGATGTTATCAATTCATGAACTCTTTCATAGTTGGAGTTATATAGGGGGGTGAAATCCTCTTTGATAATGTCCTCTGGAAAGCGGAAAGTGATATTCTGAAAATTCAAATTATATGTATCAGAATCAACCAATTGTCTGCCGAATCATGTACATTTCGCTATTTATTTTAAATTTCCAACGTTTTTGCTCGCTTTCTATTTTGTTGGTTTTCTTTTTTATTATTGGTACAAATTGTCGAAAATTCGGCCGTGCCATGGTACATTGTATGTCGATTCGCTCACATGCCTTTCTTTTCTAATACAAAACAATAAACTTTGCTGAATTTTTCCTGATCAATCTTCGTCACTGTAGATAAAGTATTCTACAATATATCTGAGTATTGCTCCATTATGGTTCTGTTCAATTTAACAATTAGTTTAATTGGCTCAATATCTTTATTTTTACTGTACTTTTCAAAATCATGTTTTTTACTTGTCATTTTGATACGGTTGCAATTAATACAAATAAACATTTACTTCACTTTCATGTTTACAATTCTTTCTTTGTTTATCTTATCCATAGTTTCATTCTGTTTCAGATTAATTCACTTTGATATTTGTTAGCTTGCATAACCGTATCTTCATATCATATCTGGTGTTCCTGATTATTTTTTATTTCTTTAGACTGTCGTTACATTGGGTGCTCCACCGACATTAAATAATCTCTTTGATAAAATTGATGAATTAAATAAACTTGTTGATACAAACGAGCCAATTGCAGATTGGAGATCTTCCTTACGTTTATCTGTGGAACGGTCAATTCTGCATGCTCATGTTTGGCAAACGGATGAAACTAAACTGCCTCGTCGATTTCACCAACAGTCAAATGTTTGGAAACATAAGCCTGAGTATGGAATCCATCCGGAACAGAGTACTCGTTATTTGTTCCACAATCTATTTCGTATTTTGGAATTTCAAGTGAGTTATTTATGAATATTCAACTTTTTTTCAGATTAAATGTACATTATCGAGATAGAACATTTGTGTATTGTAGTCAGTTTGATGGTAGTTTTCATCAAGTGAAGAGCTATCAAGAATCAAAGGGAACTGATCGTCCATTTTGTCCTAGTTGGTATTCCTTTATGATAGGTCTAAATATGTCAATGCAAAGTTGAGATTTTTCTGCTATGCACTTTTTTCACACGATTTGCTGTTTTAGTATTATATCGATTGTAACTTGACACTTTACTATAGTTCATTCTGATCTTTAATAGATAACTTTTCTGACTTACAAATAACAATGTCTTGAAGTTTTTATGTCGTAACAGATTCAAAAGTCCACTATTTTTAATACGTGACATTGTCAAATTCATTAGTGGGTCTTTTATTTAGGTCCTTGTAAAGTATCACAATAATTGTCAACTGTAGAACCTGATGTTGAATTTATTAAAAATAATTGTTCGCTTAAATATTCTGTTTTTGTAAGTTATTAATTCGCATTAAATCATAAGGCTTATCTTCTCATTATAGCATTAAGTAACGTTAATGATAGTACCATAGAGTATTTTTTTATTTAGCAAAATAGTTCTTAGTTGATTTAAGTGCTACTCTAAACATTACTGATTGCATTATTTTCATTATTCATATAAGCTTACCAGATAGTTTTTTGTTAAACTGTCGCTACCTTACTATGTTGCGCCAGTAATAAATTTTGTGTATTTCTGATGATTACCAATTAGCAATTCGTTTGTATTTCAATAGTTAAAAAGGTTTGAGTATTGAGTACTTGCAATTCATTTGCATTTTCCAATGGGTGAGCGAAAAGGCCGAAAAAATGCTTTTACTGACGTTTTACTATTTAATGCTAATCACTTTATCAAAGTAATATTATTTTGATATAGCTCTTATCATTGAATAGCGGAATGTTTCAGTTGAAAACGATTTTGTCCCGTTTTAT